AAATCCTAGATGTGCCCCTGAGCTTCCTCTCAGCTGTGAATCCTCCGAGTATGAATTTCTCACTGTCAGCAGAGCCTGGGGAGCCCTCCCTGGGCTGCGAGCCATTCAGAGGTGATTACTTCCGTCACATCTCATCCCTTCTTATTTCTCACTGATCGCCAATAAATCCTAAGCTAGGGGGACATCTGCGGACAAGCTAGGGTTTGTTCGGGGTTGAGGAACCGACCCCTTTTTATTTCCAAACTCCTCCCAAAATGTAGTGTTGAGATTTGACATCAGAAATACCTGCTTGTTCTGGTGGGGAATCCAGTGTGGCCTCGCACAACAGAGGAGGGAGAAGGATGATTTAGCTTAGACTTGGAAAGATGGTAAAAGGAGGACAGGTGCTTCACTGCTAAGACAGCTCCTGCTCATCTCTTTTTTTTCGTGTGTGATTGTGTGAGTGTGCACGTGTGGATTTTCCAGGGGTAGCCGGGCTGACAGGAGCTCAGTTGGGACTGATTAGCGCAGAGAATGTTTCTTGTATGATAGAGAGAAAAGAAAAAGGGAGATAATAGAAAGAGGGGGGGAAAGAAAGAGGACAGTGAGGTTGTGTGTGAGGGGGAGGATGAGATAGATGAAACACAGCATGAGGGTAGAAACAGTGGTGTAAGTGGAGGCTGTAAGTGATGACTGCCCTGCGTCCGGTCCGCGCCGACAGTAAAGGTGAGTCGGCAACATTGGGCCCGCTGAAAAATGAAGCGGTAAATGGAGCAGCCAGTAATGACAGATTCTATCCAGCTTCATTCCAGCCTCACCTGTGGGGTGGGGAAATGGGTGGTGTGTTTGGAAAAACAAGAAGAGAGTGTGTGCAGTTTCTCTTAAGGTTGTACCCTGTCATAATATGTCAATATCACCCGCCGTCTGCCTCTGAGGAATCCATCTAGCCAGGCCTGTTTGGCAGGCAGCACCACGATGAGGTGAGCTGCTGGAAATGAGGTTTTTTTTTTGTTTTAGGGAGAGAGGTAGAGCGAGTGAGAGGAGGGTCGGTAGCTGGGTTGATGTATGTTTATGGTAAGTCTCCAGCCCCCCAGCGTGCTGATCCGTCATTGTTTACAGAGCAGGAGGACGGATGTGTGGAGGAGGGCACGAGGAGGTAATGGTGTGAGGTGAAGCAAAGGTAAGCGAGATAGGACAGCGACACAGACATCTGTGTGTGGACACAGGGGAGGTCGCCAGAGTGCAGCCCTGCCCCTCAGCCGACCGCTGGGAGGTCATGACCTCCTGCTGCAGAGGCTGCGCAGGTTTATAGCTGTGTTTTGTCTTCCTGTCATCTTTATCTCCAATGCCTATCTCTGTTTGTGGGAACGTTGCATTTCTGTGATTGTTTTGTTTTGTCCCCTTTGTCAGAAATCCCCTTAAATCAGACCCAGAACTCCGGTGTTCATTTGTGTCCAGGTCTGCTCTGGACTAAGCTTTTTACTGGGTCCATAAAAGTCAAATCTTTGAAGGAATTAGGCATCTACAGTGATTATTAAATTCAAAAAGGGGATCATCAAGTGAAAAATGATGTCTGTAAATAGAGGCCAACATCTTAGTAGTACATTAGTATCAGCGTTTATTGCTGCTTTCAGACATGCACTGAACGTTTGAGATCCTCTGCAGATTACATGTACGTGTGAACACACGTCTGACTAAGTATCTGCTGACTGCTCCGTCTGGCCCCCTAGTATGAAGTTGGCAGAAGTCCATTTGATAACACAGCAGGACATCTTCTGCAGGTTTCACTGTGATCGAGTTGGGCGGGTCGATAACGCTTCTAAAACATGACAGACGCAAAAATGAAAACAACTAAAAGGAAAACAAATATATGCAGGTGAAAAAGCTGTCACACGTAGAAGACACTGACAAAAACATTGGGAGAGTTTTTGGTAATAAGATCCGACGGCAGTGACGATGTGTTGTAAACACAACCATGTGATCGCCGCAGCAGACTTAAAACGTTTTGTTCCTGCCTGCTGCACCACCCCTCGCTTGAATCCTGTGGAGGATTTATTGCTGTTGTGAACCCTTCTCTGTAGCGAACCCCCCCCCCGCTGTGTTGTACATATGAGAAAAGCAAACTGCAGAGAAAATCCACATCCAGTTCTCCAAGGATCCTCTGCAGGACATGTCTGAAAACAGCATGTGTTTGCTCATATCTTTAACTTGAAAGCTTGTATTTACAGAACAAACAATGCAGAAAATATGCGCATTATATTTAGCTCCCAAATTCTATATCGGTCCGGCTCTAATTTCTACCCATTTGCTTTGACCTTAACATTTCAGTTATACCAAAACTTTGGAGACCAAGCCCAGTTATTCTCTGTGACTGTTTCTAACACAATTTGGTTTTGATGGACTTACAGGCATCAACGGTAATTGTAAGTGAAAAATTGTGTCAACCTTTTCTTCTGAAATCTATTTGTGTGAAATAAAGTAAAATGGCACACAGCCTTGTTTCAGATATTCCAATTTGATGAAGAATAAAATCAATAAATGAAAGACAGGACACATCAAGCCAGAGTGAACTAAGTGAAATGCTGCCTCCACCCAATCGATCAGGTGTGGGCTGAGGTCCTTTGGTCTAGACTGATCAATAGTTCTTACAAAACATTCTTTGCTCCTTCAAGTTGACCCTTCTGCTCGCCTTTATCCTCTCCTCTACCACCGCTCAAGTGTTTGCTCAACAAACACTTAAGATCCCACCAGAGCTGTGCTCAGGTCAGCCTTGAACACTGCCAGTGTTTGCAGAGGAACTCAGTATGTCAACCTGTTTGCTACTTTACATTTTGGATCTCCCCCTTTTCTCAGTATCAAGAACTTTCTTTCTTTCATTTCTCCCTTTACAAGAAATCAATACAAGAAACACTTGCTTGGAAATACAACTTTGCCACTTCATTTCAACTTTTAAGGTGCCTTTGAGAGTGTGTGGTACATTTCACCAGAGATCTTTATGGATCCTAGAGTGAGCACAAGGCAAATAACACACACACACACACACTATATAATATTGCAGCAGTATTGGGTATTGGCTTCACAGAAAAGGGATGTGAAAAAAAAACTACTTGAGATCAGGGCCACCTCCTTGTCATGATGTCCTAACCTCTCAATGTCGTCAGGTTCCTGTGTCCAGACGCACCCAGGCCCTCATAACTCTGGATAGTCCCCCTCGCCACCTCTCTTGTCCTTCGTCTTTTCACCCCTCCCATTTTCTTTGAAGCTTTGAATTATGTTGCTGCCTCTGTTTTCTCACTTTTCATTCCTGGGCCAAGCCACAACTGCTCCATCCCCTCAGTGCACTGACAGCAAAAACACTCACAGGTCTTTCTGTTGAACCTCCGCCAGCATTCCCTCCCTCACACCACCGCTCCCTCTCTCCATCTGTCCCTCATCCCTCGTCATTGCTTCCTCATAGTGATGAAGCTCATTAGCGGGCCGTCTCTGTCAGCTGTATGTATGTGTGAAGGCGCGGTGGCGACGGGGGGTCACCACAATGTTTATATTTAGATACAGGGATAGTGCAAGTATAATGTGGTGATTTTTAATGAGATGTGGAGCAGAGCCTGGATCATGTCAGTCACACACAGAGAGGGAGAGTGATGCAAAGGCTGAGAAGTATCCACCCCTGTGTGTGTGTGTGTGTGT